CTTGGTGCTCTCCCCCCCCCTCCTCCTCCTCCTCCTCCTCCTCCTCCTCCCCTCCTCCTCCTCCTCCTCCTCCTCCTCCTACGTTCCTCATCCCCTCCTCCTCCTCCTCTTCCTCCTCCTCCTCCTCCCCTCCTCCTCCTCCTCCTCCTCCTCCTCCTCCTCCTCCTCCTCCTCCTCATCCTGGAACTCCCCCCCCCACCCTCGCTCCTACCTCCTCCTCCTCTACCTGGTCGTCCTCCTCCTCCTGGTCGTCCTCCTCCTCCTGCTCGTCCTCCTCCTCCTCCTGCTCGTCCTTCTTCTCCTGCTCCTCCTGCTCCTCGTCCTGCTCCTGCTCGTCCTCGTCCTCCTGGTCTTGCTCGTCCTCCTCCTCGTCGTGCTCTTGCCCCTGCTGAAAATGTAGCCCAGGAATGGGAGTTTTGGGAAGTCGAAGAGCACGAAATTGCCTACAGTTGGCTACGGGCATTCAAAATGTGGCCCGGGAATGGAGTTCTGGGAACTCGAAGAGCACGAAGTGGCCTACAGTTGGCTCCGGGCATTCAAAATGTGGCCCGGGAATGGAGTTCTGGGAAATAGAAGAGCACGAAGTGGCCTACAGTTGGCTCCGGGCATCCAAAATGTTGCCCGGGAATGGCGTTCTGGGAACTCGAAGAGCACGAAGTGTGTGACTGTTGCATCCGGCCCCCCAGAATGTGGCCCGGGAATGGCGTTCTGGGATGTCGAAGAGCACTTTGTGTGTGAATGTTGCATCCGGCCCCCCAGAATGTGGCCTGGGAATGGAGTTCTGGGAAGGCGAAGAGCACGAAGTGTGTGACTGTTGGTGAAAAACGAGCCCGGCTCATGCCGCCCGTAAACGCCCCAACACCTGCCCGGACCCCCCTGTGGAGTGATCTGTGAGCTCTTTTGAGACCACTAGAAACCTATCAGTCTTCGCTGTTTAGGTAACTGCAATTTTAGCATATTCGCCTTTCGGATTTCATCAGCTTTCAAGACGGTTTCAAAGCCCCCGAGATCGCCTCAAGATGCCCCAAAAGGCCCCCAAGAAAGCTGCAAGACGGCCGAGCCAGGCCCCACCCACGGTCGCCCACGAGAGCCCCAAGACAGCCCATAATGGAACCAAGAGGCCCCCCAAGGGCTCCCAGCACAGACCCAAAAGGGCCATGGGAGGTCCCCGGAAGTGCCCAAGATGGGTCCAAAGGGGGCTCCAGCGGGCCCAAGCTTCTCAAGACGGCCCAAGAAGGCCCCAGGACGGCCCATGAAGGCGCCAAAACGGCCCACGAGGGCCCCGAAAACACCCCCACAATGTTTCCGAATGCCAACATAAAGACTCACAAGAGGGGCCAAAAAAAAAAAAAAAAAAACCCCCCCAAAAAAAAAAGTTTTCCAAGGGGCCTTGGAAACTACAAAAATCGTCCCATTCCCTTCGGAAAACTTGCAAGTTTAAGCATCTTCGCCATTCGGATTTCATCAGCTTTCAAGACGGTGTCAAAGCCCCCGAGATCGCCTCCAGACGCCCCAACAGGCCCCCAAAAAGCTTCAAGACGGCCGAGCCGGGCCCCACGATCGCCCACGAGAGCCCCAAGACAGCCCATAATGGAACCAAGAGGCCCCCCAAGGGCTCCCAGCACAGACCCAAAAGGGCCATGGGAGGTCCCCGGAAGTGCCCAAGATGGGTCCAAAGGGGGCTCCAGCGGGCCCAAGCTCCTCAAGACGGCCCAAGAAGGCCCCAGGACGGCCCATGAAGGCGCCAAAACGGCCCACGAGGGCCCCGAAAACACCCCCACGATGTTTCCGAATGCCAACATAAAGACCCCCAAGGCACCCCAAAAAGCTTTCCAAGGGGCCTTCAAACTACAAAATCGTCCCATTCCCTTCGTAAAACTTGCAATTTTAGCATATTCGCCTTTCGGATTTCATCAGCTTTCAAGACGGTTTCAAAGCCCCCGAGATCGCCTCAAGACGCCCCAAAAGGCCCCCAAGAAAGCTTCAAGACGGCCGAGCCGGGCCCCACGATCGCCCACGAGAGCCCCAAGACAGCCCATAATGGAACCAAGAGGCCCCCCAAGGGCTCCCAGCACAGACCCAAAAGGGCCATGGGAGGTCCCCGGAAGTGCCCAAGATGGGTCCAAAGGGGGCTCCAGCGGGCCCAAGCTCCCCAAGACGGCCCAAGAAGGCCCCAGGACGGCCCATGAAGGCGCCAAAACGGCCCACGAGGGCCCCGAAAACACCCCCACGATGTTTCCGAATGCCAACATAAAGACCCCCAAGGCACCCCAAAAAGCTTTCCAAGGGGCCTTCAAACACAAAAATCGTCCCATTCCCTTCGTAAAACTTACAATTTTAGCATATTCGCCTTTCGGATTTCATCAGCTTTCAAGACGGTTTCAAAGCCCCCGAGATCGCCTCAAGACGCCCCAAAAGGCCCCCAAGAAAGCTTCAAGACGGCCGAGCCGGGCCCCACGATCGCCCACGAGAGCCCCAAGACAGCCCATAATGGAACCAAGAGGCCCCCCAAGGGCTCCCAGCACAGACCCAAAAGGGCCATGGGAGGTCCCCGGAAGTGCCCAAGATGGGTCCAAAGGGGGCTCCAGCGGGCCCAAGCTCCCCAAGACGGCCCAAGAAGGCCCCAGGACGGCCCATGAAGGCGCCAAAACGGCCCACGAGGGCCCCGAAACACCCCCACGATGTTTCCGAATGCCAACATAAAGACCCCCAAGGCACCCCAAAAAGCTTTCCAAGGGGCCTTCAAACACAAAAATCGTCCCATTCCCTTCGTAAAACTTACAATTTTAGCATTTCGCCTTTCGGATTTCATCAGCTTTCAAGACGGTTTCAAAGCCCCCGAGATCGCCTCAAGACGCCCCAAAAGGCCCCCAAGAAAGCTTCAAGACGGCCGAGCCGGGCCCCACGATCGCCCACGAGAGCCCCAAGACAGCCCATAATGGAACCAAGAGGCCCCCCAAGGGCTCCCAGCACAGACCCAAAAGGGCCATGGGAGGTCCCCGGAAGTGCCCAAGATGGGTCCAAAGGGGGCTCCAGCGGGCCCAAGCTCCCCAAGACGGCCCAAGAAGGCCCCAGGACGGCCCATGAAGGCGCCAAAACGGCCCACGAGGGCCCCGAAAACACCCCCACGATGTTTCCGAATGCCAACATAAAGACCCCCAAGGCACCCCAAAAAGCTTTCCAAGGGGCCTTCAAACACAAAAATCGTCCCATTCCCTTCGTAAAACTTACAATTTTAGCATATTCGCCTTTCGGATTTCATCAGCTTTCAAGACGGTTTCAAAGCCCCCGAGATCGCCTCCAGACGCTCCAAAAGGCCCCCAAGAAAGCTTCAAGACGGCCGAGCCGGGCCCCACGATCGCCCACGAGAGCCCCAAGACAGCCCATAATGGAACCAAGAGGCCCCCCAAGGGCTCCCAGCACAGACCCAAAAGGGCCATGGGAGGTCCCCGGAAGTGCCCAAGATGGGTCCAAAGGGGGCTCCAGCGGGCCCAAGCTCCCCAAGACGGCCCAAGAAGGCCCCAGGACGGCCCATGAAGGCGCCAAAACGGCCCACGAGGGCCCCGAAAACACCCCCACAATGTTTCCGAATGCCAACATAAAGACCCCCGAGGCACCCCAAAAAGCTTTCCAAGGGGCCTTCAAACTACAAAAATCGTCCCATTCCCTTCGTAAAACTTGCAATTTTAGCATCTTCGCCATTCGGATTTCATCAGCTTTCAAGACGGTGTCAAAGCCCCCGAGATCGCCTCCAGACGCCCCAACAGGCCCCCAAGAAAGCTTCAAGACGGCCGAGCCGGGCCCCACGATCGCCCACGAGAGCCCCAAGACACGCCAAGATCTCAGGGTGCAGGCCCGTCTCTCGGGCGCGCCTCGGCCTGCCCGTGGCCCTGTCCACCCTCGCCCCTCCCAGTAGTACTCGTGCTTGCTGGGGTCGAATGGCTCCTGCGCCTCGAAGCCGGTGTAGTCGAGCTCGATCTGCTCGTGCAGGGATCGCCAGCCCCCTGGCCAGCCCCACTCTTTCGGGCCCTCTCCCGTCCTGCACGGGTGGAGTGAGCAACCACACGTGAGCCCTGCCCCTGCAAATCAAGCCTCTGAAACGCCGAGGTTCAGAGTGAGAAGGGTGTCTGCAACCAAATGAACCCCAACGGGTGCGTCCGATACCCCAGCGTCGATTGTCCCTGGCCCCTCGAGATCGGATTCGCAAGCGGTCGTAGATGGATGGTGGGGAGGTGGAGGATGAGGAGAAGGAGCAAGCGGAGTAATTTATGCTTCGCTCGGTTTGCCCTGCTGGTCTCAACATCGTTCGGTCCCCTGCAGTGCAAGATCAAAGCTCTGGTTTACTCTGCCCACAAATATCGATTGCTGGCAACTCGGCGTACTGTTTCGTCTAGCTGGTCGATGTTTCACATTCGGTTGCGCAAAAAACTAAAACATCGGGCCACACTCAACCGCTAAATTATGCCAATACGCATTCCACTCAGGAAGCATTCCCAAGCCAACGTACCTGCTGTAATCCCGCGCACCCTCTTGTCTCATGACAAATCTCTCTGGTCTGTCTTCTGACGATACCTAAACAACTTTCCGTTTTGTGAATGGACGTGAACACCATATGCCGGTGGCGTGACATCATAATGGCCGTGCATATGTGCACATGGGCACATCAGTAAACCTTTCCGTCAATACCGAACTGGCCAAATGAAATGTTTTGATACATACAGGCCGGATAACCACAACACTTTCAATTGCATCTGGCGTGACTGGCGGAGGGAGAGATACGATTTACAATGACGCGTCAGACAAATTCGTAGCGCTCTTGCATGCGATACCCCGAACTTGCAAGACTGCGCGCCATGTGCAAGCACACGCGTGTACTACACATAGCGTGCCGTTTCCCCCGGAAAGCAAGGCGGAACGAGAATGTACACCCCATGGACACAGCGCCCCGCAATCACACAGCGTGCAAGTCAGACGGCGACAACCTGGCGGCAACATGTAGTTCATCCGAGCGTGTAGCACACGTACCATTCGGTGCAAGCGCCGCCCCCTCCATCGTCAGTCGCAGACGTGGAGCCTTCCAATACCCACCGCACAGGATCGGCAGAAGGCTGTGTGCTCGAGGTATAGAACCTCCAGGCCTCGACCACCATCGGTTCGGGCAGAGTGATGACGAGCGGCGCCATCTTCGCGCAGTGCCACTCCGTGCCCTTTTCGCCGTCCATCGCGTTTTTTGGCTCGCGTCCCTCAGGATTCTTGCCGCCCACGGAGGACAACAAATCGCCTGAGAGGTGCATGGAGAGAACAACCAGGAGAAGGAGGAGACGAGCGTCTCAGCAGAGCAGGATGCCACCTCACGAGCCCGCCTCAAGCGGAGAACACATGAGCTCCGACATCAATGCTGCCAGCACAACTGGCATCAGCTGCTGTGAGGATCTGGGGCTCGGAGAAGCCTCAAACCATGGTTAAACTTAGCTGCCCTGATACGTAAGATGCAACCCGTAGCGTGCTGACACGGAGCTCAACACGTAGATTGAACACGTAAGTCTGGCGCGGTACGTTCGCCAAAACGTGGACAAACGAGTACCGAGCCAACACGCAACGTGTTAACACGGACGTTTTGCGATTCAACACGGGCGCATCAGGGCAGCTAAGGTCTAACACGGAGGAGAAGGAGGAGCGGGAGGAGGAGTCAGGACAGCAGACTTCGCGCGGCTTCGCGCGCCGAAAGGCGCGTTGCGCGCAATGCTCTCCGCCCCTAGAGGTCGAGAGGACGAAGGAAGCGTTTGCTTTGTTTTGTCTGTTTATTTGTTCGGTGCCGTCAGCCCTACACTAGAGGGCAGCAAATCCATCCCCATAATAATCACCCCAGCACGCGAAACCGCTTAGTAAACGCACCCAAAGAAATAATCGAACAGGGCAGGGCCGGTTAATAAACGCCTGGGGCCGTTTAGTGAACGCCAATTACTGGGTCCGGGTGGTTTTCCCTCCCTTGTTACACTGTCTCTCCACTGTCGCCGCCTGGCATTTGCTCCGTCCCACCGTTTGCCTTGGCCGGGCTGTCTGCCTGTCGCTCATGCACCCGATCAGTGTGCCGTTGCACTTCGGCGCTGCGCCCTATCTTGCTTCACGCGCTGCACACCACCTCCACTTGCCGCCACTCGCCCCCTCTCCCCCCCTTCCCCTTCGGGGTGGCACAAAGAGGTGGGGTTGGTAGGGGGCCACATGCGAACCCTACCCCTACCCCCCACGATTTCTGAGGGGGAGGGTGGGGTAGGGTTCGCGTGTGGCCCCCTAACTCGCCCCCTCTCCCCCCCTTCCCCTTCGGGGTGGCACAAAGAGGTGGGGTTGGGGCAAAAGTGGGTTTGGAGGGAAAATCGCTTCAAAGGGCCCCTGGAGGAAGGAAGCGGGTTCCCCAGCCCCACCTTGGGATAACCCTCCCGCTGCGAGCCCCCGACCTATTCTCCTCGCGTCCGCGCGCGAGTGAGCGGGCCGCCCTCGTCCTCCCGCCGCGTGAGCCGGCCCAGACGCGCGCTCTCGCTCAAACACTATAGACTGTCTGCGCCGCGCCGCCGCGCGCGTGGCCGCAACGCCACACAGGTTGCTCGGGGATCTGGCGCTGCCACGCGCCGCTGGGCCGTCGCAAAACGGGCTCAACAAGAGAAGCCGCACCCCGAGAGAGCCCCTAGGGTCCAGGACCCGCTGCCCTCTCTTCCAATATTCCCGTCGTTCGCTGGAGCCTACTACCCTCGTCAAAATTAACCTCAACAGTTGCTGGCACGTCATCTCGATTTCGGCGCGCTCCTCAATGTCGACACGCCGCCCCGTCCATGTCGGGGCGAGGGCAAAGATAGTCTGACCGAAGTTGACTCGAAAGTTTGACGTCGACCGACATTGGAGGGGCGGCGCATGCAAGTACCCCGCACTCATCGATACTCGGCCCCAGATCTTCCGACAAGCAGTTCAACCACGTCAGACATTTTTGAGGTTCATTTTGACGAGGGTTATAGGTCAGCAAACTGACTGCCGCATGTCTTAGGCAACCGAGCGCATACCTGAGGCAGCCGAGCGCGCCGAGCCCGCTTCTGCCATGATTCCTTTCCCTCATGCCGGGGGACGGCATGGGAGGGACTCGAAGAACACGCCAAGTCGCTCGGTCGGCCAAGGGGCTCGGTGTGTAGACGCCCCAGCTCCCCAACGTGCGGGATGCTGTAGCGTCGAAGCGCCCACACCCTTCGCCGATCTCATCGGCTTCTTGGCCGACCAGGCGACGTAATGCATACTGGATACAAATCGGGCCCCTCGGAGAGAAAAAAAGGGGGCGCGAGGCGGGAGAGGCGCCCAAGAGGCACCCGCGGCCAGCTCGCGCCGTGACGACCGTGGGGGTGGCTTCTGACGCCGCGCGGATGGCTTCATCTTGAACGAGCGCGGCTTTCCGATCCCGCCAGATCATTCGATGTTGATCTCTCTAGCCGCCGCCGACGCCCGCGCCGGTTTCGCCGCCGAGGAGGCCCCCGAGGAGTTCGGAGAACGTGGTGCGGAGCCAGAGGGAGCCGCCGGAGAGACGGCAGACCTCAGCGGCGAAGCGCTCGATAGTGCTGTGTTTTATCATGGTCCGAGGTTCTTCATGGCTCCAAGGCGGCAGTGAGCGCCCAAAGCGTGAGCCGAGTAATTGACCGCAGTGCAGAGGACGAGATAGGTGGGCACGAGCAAGCACAGCGAAACAAACAGCGGTTGGAGATGTACTGGAAGCTGGCTCCCGAGTGGAGAGAGCATGGAGGCAACAATAGGACAAAACAACGGTACACTTGCGATGAGCCCAGACGCCTGGAATTTTGCGGATAATCTTCCCTTCCGACTTCAACTCGATGCCGCCGACTTGTAGAATTGTATTCGCGTCTTTCCAACGTATCTCCCCCAGACAGAATCTGCTGACTCTCCCCGCCAGTCTGCCCATCCCACAATACATCCCATACCACATCGCTTCTCTGGACCAGTGCCGGGAATGTCCGCCACCGTGCCGTAAGCATGCTGGGGCGTTGCAGCATACTCCTGCGTTGTCTGGTAGGGCTCTGTCCCCGAACAGTGCGGACCCCTGGGGGCTGCTGCTACGCTTGTTGATCGAGTTGGACGGGCCCGCAACGGATTTTCCCCGTTCGCGCCCGTGGGCGCCGTGTGCCTTGAGTGGGTCCGCCGAGGTTTCGCCTTGTGTCCGCCCACGATCATTTGAAGGTCGGAAAAAGGGGTGTGGCATGAAGGGGTATGGTGCCAATCGTGGACACGGTGATGCTATATCTGCGATGAATGACATCGCCAGAGTCCCCTTGACGAAATACAGAAAATTGACACCTTTGGGGCGAGGAGGAGGAGGAGGAGGAGGAGGAGAAGGAGGAGGAGGAGGGGGGAGGAGGAGGAGGAGGAGGGAGGGAGGGGAGGAGGAGGGAGGAGGAGAGGAGGAGGAGGAGGAGGAGGAGGGGGGGAGGATGAGGAGGAGGAGGAGGAGGAAGGGGGGGGAGGAGGAGGAGGAGGAGGGAGGAGGAGGAGGAGGAGGAGGAGGAGGAGGAGGAGGAGGAGGAGGAGGAGGAGGAGGAGGAGGAGGAGGAGGAGGGAGGAGGAGGAGGAGGAGGGAGGAGAGGAGGGGGAGGAGGAGGGGGAGGAGGGGGAGGAGGGAGGAGGTAGGGAGCCCACAAAGGACGTACGCGCCCAGCTATGTACATGAACACGGCCCCTCGATCTGCGAGACGGGCCGCGTGATACGAACTTTCGGGAAATGCGTACTCTCGAAACCGGCGTGGATTCATGTACGTGTACGTCCTTCTTTCGCTCCTGAGGAGGAGGAGGAGGAGGAGGAGGAGGAGGAGGAGGAGGGGGGGGGGATGATGAGGAGGAGGAGGGGGGGGGGAGGAGGAGGAGGAGGAGAGGAGGAGGAGGAGGAGAGGAGGAGGAGGAGGAGGAGGAGGAGGAGGGGAGGAGGAGGGGGAGGAGGAGGAGAGGCCCCTTTATACCGCACCCCTCTCCCACCTCCGGAAGGTACCCGCGCGGCGCCCATTGGGCCCCGGGTGGGCTTGCCGAGATGTCGCCCCAGGGGTGCCCTGCCGTGGCCGAGCCTCGTGGGCGCCCCGGGCCCCGGGCGTGTGCGCTGTAGCTCTCGCAGCACGGCTCGCACAGCGCGGCCTCCACACCGCAGCCTGCACCACACAGCTCACACCCGCCGCCTCCTCCTCCTCCTCCGCCTCCTCCTCCTCCGCCTCCTCCTCTCCTCCGCCTCCTCCTCCTCCTCCTCCTCCTCCCCCTCCTCCTCCTCACCTCCTCCTCCCAACATAGCCAACACCACACAGCGAGTGAGAGGGAGAGAGAGAGAGAGAGAGAGCCGGCATGCAGAAGCTAACGCGTTCTCCCGACTCGAGTTCCAATTCCAATGTTTTGGTTGCCTAGACGTGGATGGGATGATCGTTGCGCCTATGTAGCAACAAGGGAAGCTGACTTAGGCGATGCAACCTCGTACAACATGAGCAAAGTCTGCCCTGCAACTGCGCGCTACTCTGACGACGAATAAAGGCAGTGAGGACACGAGACTTGCCTTCCTCCTCGTCGTCCGCATCCTCCACGCATTTTCTTTATGAATCGCTTCCTTCGCCGCACTGCCAGTTGTGACGGTAAGGCGATCCTGTCGTGCCGCCGAGGACCTCCTCGCATCTTTGGGCCCTGGGGCTTCTGTATTCCACCAGTGAACGGATGGATGGCGTTTCAATGTCTGACTTTGCCACACTAAGGGAACTAATGTGTGATCCTAGCGTGCTTTGCAAAGTTCCTTGCCTCGGGATTGCCTGACAATTCATAATCACCCTGGAACGTGACAGTTCGAACAGACACGAGGCTGGGTGCTCCTTTTCAACTTGTAGCTGTCGGTTGAAACCTCCTTCACAATATCTGATGCTGAAGCTAGGAAGTTGTAACCACTATTCGGATGGGGAGGGGTCCGTCTTCAAAATCAGGATATCGTGCCGATCATGCTCATCTGATGGTTCATATGCACATTCCCAAATACTTGGGAAATGTACCCGCTGCTGCCCGTCTTCTCGTTCTACTTCTCCTTGGGATCCTCCTTCACCCACCTCCTCACTTTGTTTTGATGTCCTTTTCTGCTCTTCCTCTGGCCCCTTTGCCTTCTCCTGTCTCCTCGTCTTCCGTGTCGTCGTCTTCTTCCTCGTCCGGCCACAACCCGCACTTTTCGACATCTCGGGCGGCTCATAATTCGATCCAATGCGCTCACGCGACAAATGGCCATGTGATGATCGGTGCATCTCGCACGAACAGCCGGAACGACGACCACACATACCGTGGTCCCCACAAGCAGGCGATCACTGCTCCGCCAGCTGTTCCTCCAACGTGGCCCCAGTTGTCCACGTTCGGCCACAACGTGCCCATTGCGAGGTTGAGCAACAGCAATGCCAAGTACCTTGGTGTTTGGTATCGATCTCATCAATTGCGCTAGTGGAGATCGTCGGGGGATGCCAAACCTGTGGGTTCTTCGCATGTTATCCAACGTGGACCCCAAACAGTTTCTAACAATGTCTGTTGTGCACTTTACGTGGAGGGATACATGTGGTGCAATCTATGTTGTGCAATTAATTTCTGTTCGCAATGAGTTGTCCACTCCACTGCTCGCGCAAACATCCCACCCACCCACCCGCAACTTGGTTTGCAAAATCTCTTAAGACCGTGACGGTGGGTACCACATGGCACTTGGCAACAACAGCGACGCCGCCGACAACGACAACGACTACGACGACACCAACGACGTCTCCAACGACTTCGACGACGCCAACAACGACGACGACGACGAAACCGACGACGACGACACCAGCGCCGACGACGACGACGACGATGACAACGACGACGACGATGACGACGCCGACGACGACGATAACGACACCGACGACGACGACGACGTCAACGACGCCGACGACGACGACGACGACGACGGCGGCGACGACGACGACGCCGACGTCGACGACGACGAAGACGACAACGACGCCGACGCCGACGACGACGAAGACGACGACGACGTCGCCAACGAAGACAGCGAGGAAGGAGGGAGGACGACGACGGCGACAACGACGACAACGACGAGGGAGGAGGGAGGACGGCGACGACGCGAACGACGAAGAGGGAGGAAGGACGGCGACGCCGACGACGGCAACGACGAGGGAGGAGGGAGACGACGACGACGACAACGACGACGACGACGACGACGGCGACGAAATAGGAGGGACGACGACGAGACGCCGACGACGACGACGACGACGACGAGGGAGGAGGAGGAAGGACGACCACGGCGACAACGACGACGGAAACGACCACGACGCCAAAGAGGACGACGACGACGAACACGAGGAAAGACAGAGGACGACGTATGCGACGACGACGACGACAACGACGCGGAAGGAGGGAGGACGGCGATGACAACGACGACGACGCAAGAGCGCGCGCGCACGCTTTTGTTGACAATCCGTGTTGCGAAACCTTGGGGTTTTTGTAGGTTTTTTGGACGCACGATTTTGAAATCCTTCGGAAACCGCTGGGTTTTGAAAGTTTTCGGCACACGCGCGCGACGACGCGCGCGTCTGCACTTCGCCCTTGTTTTTTGCAGGGGATTCTCGCGACGGCACACTCGCAAGGGCGTTCGACAGATTTCGACATGAGCGCGCGCGAGGCCCGTTTGGTAGCATTTTGTGAAAATCTTGAAAAACCTATGGTTTTCTTAAGATTTCGCAAGAGCTTTCGTGGAAGTTTTTTTAGCAACTCAGTGTTGCGAAACCCTGTGTTTTTGTATGTTTTTTGGGAACTCGATTGCGAAATCCTTCCCGCACCGAGGGTTTTTGAAGGATTTCGGCATGCGCGCGCGACGACGCGCGCGTGTGCACTTCGTCTCATTTTTTGCAAGGGATTCACAAAACATGCTATGTTAGAACAAAAATACCACCGCATTACGATTTCATATTTAGGATGGACGAATGTGCAGAACATATATATATATATATATATATACATATATATATATATATATATATATATATATATGTGCTACAGGGGGGCTGCCAGCGGAGACCCCCCCCATGTCCTCCGGGGACTCCGAAGCCTGGCCAGGGGCGGCAGCGCGACGCGAGTCCGACCCCTCGGAGTTGACCGGGAGCGGCAGCGCGACGCGAGTCCGAACCCCCTCGGGTGAGGGCGGCAGCGCTCGACGCGAGTCCGAACCCCCCCCGGGACCCCTTTCCCCGGCACTCCTGCTGGGATGGCGTCAGCACATCCTCAGATGGCTCGCAATCGGCACATCTTTTAGCCAACTCGGCTTGGGCAGGGTTACAGGGCGGGGCCGAGGCGGCTACGGAGAGGCGGTTTAGAGGAGATCGTTTCGAGGACGGAGGGGGGACGAGATAAAACCCATGAGAATCTCAAGGATATTTATCTCTGTGTCCCCTTTCCCCGTCTCTCTCCTTTTTACTCCTCTCACCAGAGGTTTTGTGCTACAGGGGGGCTGCCAGCGGAGACCCCCCCCCATGTCCTCCGGGGACTCCGAAGCCTGGCCAGGGGCGGCAACGCGACGCGAGTCCGACCCCTCGGAGTTGACCGGGAGCGGCAGCGCGACGCGAGTCCGAACCCCCTCGGGTGAGGGCGGCAGCGCTCGACGCGAGTCCGAACCCCCCCCGGGACCCCTTTCCATGCACCCCTTTCTGGTTAACCGCCATTAATCCCCAGGGACGGGTGGGAGGGTCAGGAAAACGCTGACAGCGAAGCTGCTCAGATATTTTGCTCCTTCTTTTCATCTCAACCCACATCAAAGTTAAGAGCACTCGCCAGTACACGAAATCGTTCCAATTCTGCAGGCAAGAAATCGTTCTGCAGCAAAGTTTGCACACCGTCACTGATGTACAGTCTGGCCACAGCTGTGTCTTGCCATCTCCCCACTATCAAAGTCAAGCCCATGTTCTCGAACCTTCTGTAATGAGTGGTGGCACCTCCACGGCGTAAAGAATATATCTGATAACCGTGCCGCTCGAGGTTCAATGACCTCAAGAGAGCTTTGAACACATCACGAAATTCGGGCACGGTGCCCTGCAGCAACGAGCTCTCAGGCGGCAAATGCTGAGTGAGCACTTTGATGAAGTGAACAATCCTGGCGTCGTGGAGTGTGACGGACTCCTCACAGTGTCGTCTCTTGCCTGCCTTGGTCACTGGCAGGGCTATGACAAGGCTGAGGCCGTCGTTGCTGAACTGCAGCTGCCACTTACGGAGAGTAAGAAGCTCCATTGTACGCAAGAATACGGAGTAGCCAATCACAAGCAGCACCGCTATGTCATTTCGACTCCAGGATCGAGCCACCGTGGCAAGTGACATCAGCACATATTCTGGCATGGGTGGTGCTCTTTGTGGCATTTCAGTCCGTTGCCAAGCCTTCAGCAGGTTCCACGCACTGTGAAAGACTCTCTCGCGTCGCAAGAAAAACTGTACGCCAGACAAGGTGGCCCCAGCATCTCCAGCAGGCCTCCCATGCGCCCATAGCGTCTCTATCCATTCACATAATTGGAAGTCGAGCTGCTCCAGGTCAGTGGCCACGTCGATACCATGGGCACGAATCCAAGAGACAAAGCTTTGCACCATCTGACCATATCTGCGAAACGTACGAGGTTGAACTAGTGTGTGTGATAATCTGCCAATCGCGCGTCGCACCCGAATGCGGGACACCAAGTCTATCCCATAGTCAATGCGACGCTTCCTTGGCATTGCTGTCACCTGACATGCCGCCTTCCCTCGAAGGGTCGTCGGCTGGGTTCTTGTCGGTCTCGGTGTACCCGTAGATCGGTCTTGCCGACGCCGCCAGGACCAGAGCTGAGATCCTCTTGACGGCTGCGTTGAGCAGATGCGAGGAGGAGCGCCCCCGCGATATCACACCAAGTCCAACCTGCGAATCCATCAGATGAGCGAACCTCGTGCCAAGGTGATGGCCCACTCTGAAGCGCCAGCGAAGGCCTGCCAGCGTGCTCAGCACTTCCAGCGCCGTGATGTGGCTCTTCCACCTCCACTTCCAGACCAGCACTGTCTTCCACGTCCAGCGGCTCACGCTGATCGGGCGGCGTGGCCACAAGTCAGGGCGCATGACCTCCAGCGTGTCGAGGCGCACGTCCGAGCCCCTCACCTCAGCTCGCCGGATCAGCTCCTCCACGATCTGGATGCTCGGGTCCGCCTGCGCCTCGGCCTCTTCAAGGCCACGGTCCCTGATCACCACCCCGCTGTCGTCGCCCTCCTTGGCTACCTGCACCAGGCCCTCGGCAGCGTCGAAGGCGCCTCCGACCGCGCGCGCCTCCGCCATCGTGGGGACCGAGTCCAGGTAGCCGTGTCGGTGAGCCCAGTGCGCCACTATCCATGCCACCACGCCGCACTGGAACGAGTTGCCCAGCAGGGCGCAACGTACCACCTCGAGCTCAGCCAGCTTGCGGAACCGCGTGGCCCGCGCTGTCGCCGTGTGCCCAGGTGGGAAGTCCATCAACATCTCTCTCTCAAAGGAATCCGCAGGCTCCAGCGCACCTCCTTGCCATCGCAGACAGTGAGGATCTCGAAACTGGTACGGCGCATAGCAGAAGTCGTGCCTCCGCCAACGCTCCAGCTCGGCCTCGCTGCACTGGTGCAGGCCCTTTGGCTTGTCGCAGGCACGCCCGCGCGGGATGCACCTCACGAAGGTGGGCAGACGCTGCTCAGGAACCTCGGCTCCTGACCACTCTCGCCCAGGGCGCAGCCAGCGGCCCAGCGGGCCTGGACCTCCAGGGATCGTCACTTTCACCACCTCACTTTTCGCACAGACTTCGCCCTGCCACGGCGTCATGAGGTCGGTGTCACACCAGTAGAGCCTCTCTCGGCGAACGTGTGAGATGTCGGCGGCATCGATCATCACCGGGGCCAGCCCCATGTGCTCTGACATCGTGTCGCGATCCTCGGCCGTCATGGAGGACACATTCTCGATCAAGTCGAACACCTCGACCTCCACGGGGAACACCTCCTTCACCAGCGACTTCACCCGCTTGATCTCGTAGAAAAGGCCCGACCTCGCTCCTGACAGCCCTCGCCTGTCGACGCTCAGCCTGGTGAGGTCCACGCAGGGAGCTCCAGCAAACAGGAGGACCCAGCGCACATGAGGGGCCCTGTCTCGGATCTTGGCGATGTCCTGCGCGCTCAGCTTCGTGACGTCGCCCAGCTCCACCACGTCCGGCCACGCGTGCTTCACCGCGCGGCAGGCCTCTGGGTCCGTCTCCGACGCAGCATACACGGCCACGCTCAGCCCCAGCATGTCGAGGGCCCGTCTTCCACCTCCGATCCCGTCGAAGAGCGACAGCAGCACGCCCTCGTCCTGCAGCCGCCCCACCTGGCGCCTGCGAGAAGCCTTGGCTGCCTCAACGCCGT